TTAGGATCGTTGATGAGTTTCTTGCCATGAAAAGCCATGATTAATTTGAGCGAAAGTCTTGAATTAGTAATTCCTACAAGTGCATTAGAAAACCCATTTTAGAGAGAGGGAGGGAGGGAGGGAGGGATTTATAGAGAGAGGGACTCTGTGGCTTCTGTAGAAAGTCACCTACGGGATGACGACAATCGTCGATGGATTTGCTTGTCCGAACGAGAAAATATAAAGCAAACCCGCTTTCTGTATTTTGTTCTATAATCGCTGTTCTAAACTCCAACGAGATTAAAACAAAGAGATTCTCATTTTTTTTTATCTTTTTGTTAAATGGGTATAATTAAATTTTAATCAAAGTCAACGGTTAATTTTAAAGCTTGTTTGGGAGGAATTAAAATTAAAAATATAACCGTTATTGGGTCTCACTCGTCTAATAAAAGTTAACAATAATAGCTAATTTTTCAATTTTAATCCGATTTTGATATCTGTCAAACACACTCTTAATTTCATATTTAATGTGATTCATAATTTTTCAATCACATATTCATCAATTTTTATGAAAATCTATTAAAAATGTGATGTTAATCCTGACTAAACGTGGACTTATTAACTTGAGAATCATATGTTCATTTTTAGATTTTTACAATCATGTTACATGTACATTAATATTTATATTTTTCCACGTAGCATCATCATATCTTTTGATTTTCCAAACATCCTTTCACATCACCATCCAGATTGTGTAACATAGTGGACAATATCATCTAGAATGTAAGTTCTCATTTTTATACAAACAACATTTTTAATCTAAATTCTGTGTTTGACTAGTTTGGTCCCCATTATTTTCAAAATACATTTTTCACTTTCTTATTTTCAGTAACACATTTTTCAATAAAATAATATCACACGCAAATTCAAAATATTTCCTTTTTTTTAACCACGTATTTCCATCGAAATACTATTCTAAAATACATTATTTCCAAAAAATGGGGCTCAAACATGCTATTGCTATTTGATTGCAAAGGAATTATTAAAGAAAGTGATGGTTTAAGCAAAAATAATAATTAGTAGTTGTAAAGTCAAATTAGCCCAACATTAATTATTTGAAGTCTGATAGGGACTTTAATTGTAGAGAATTTAAATAATACTATTTTTGTGATTTTATATATTTGAAAAGGTCTATCTTGGATATTTAGCAGAATAAGCCAAATTAATTATATTTCAAAAGGTCTATCTTGCACATTTAACGGAATAAATCCAAACCATGAATAATTTTGAATAATTTGTGTTCAATTATTATAGCTTGATTATATAGGTTCTATTGATTCCCTCTAGTAACTCTAAAAAAGTTCGAGAACTTAATTATACATATAATTGAAGTCTAAGAATTGCACATATTACTTGATCGTTAAAGAAAGTCAATTTTGAATATAACCACATAGGAGTTCTAAGTTGTTTAGAACTTAAAATTTCAGGTTTCCAAGATAATACAATGGCCTAAGCCTTCTAAACAATGAAAAAAACTT